AGGACCAATTTGTTAAAGGATTTGGTTTATGAGGTTTAGATGTTTATTGATAAACTCCATAAGAAATGGATTGAATTTGGATGCACTATAATAGCTGATGGTTGGACAAATACACGTAACTGGACATTGATTAATTTTTTAGTGTATTATACTATAGGAACTACATTTGTGAAGTTTGTAGATGCTTCTGAAACTGTGAAGAGTGTAGAGAATTTGTTTTTTTTTTTGTTTAAAAAAGTTATTGATTGGATAAAATTAAAAAATATTGTTCAAATAGTCACTATCAATGTTGCAAATTATATAACTGTTGGAAGATTGTAGGAAGTAGAATTTCCATGGATATAATGGTCACCTTGTGCAACACATTGTATGAACTTGATGTTGAAGGAAATCAGGGAAGTGGATTATGTTGCAAATGTGGTTCAATGTGTTGGAAGGGTTAGAATTCATCTTATGGATGGTTGAACCATGCTAGTTGTTTGGGTGAAATTTCAAAAAGTTTCTAACCCTTCTAGGAATCAATTTCCTAGTATTTTGAAAAACTACATTTTTCTGAATAGATCTTGCATTGAATCGGACTATATTTGTAACCAAATAAAAAAGGAAATTATACCTGATACATAAACCATAAGCACAGATCCCAAGGTAGAAGTTCACACCCAATATTAGTCCCAAAACCAGCCTCCAACTAAAAATGGCATACTGTATGGGAGAAGTCAGTTTAGTAACACTGTTTTCAGCAAAACTACTATCCAACTTGCTTGGATCAAATGGGATGTGTGAGTTTGATTTTCCCAACGTTTTCCTTGCAAAAACATAGAGGAAAAACTGATAAAAATAAGTTCTTGAAAAGCCTTGGTTGTGATAGGGTTTCTAGGAGAGAAGAGAGAAGAGGAAAGAGAAAGAGAGTGAAGAGAACAAGTCACATTTGCCCTCTTCCTCTTAACCCCCTTATATGGAGCACTCTCCTAATCTAATTAGGAGATTATCCAAATCTGATTTTTGATTTGGATCTAGATTCTTTTAAGAGATAGGCATTATTCTCTTAAGAAAATAGGTGTTCCATACCTAGAACCATGCCCATTTTTTACCCAAATAATATGACAACTTGACAGCTTAACTAATATAATTTGGAATGGGCCTTTGGCCCATTTTCTTCAAAGGCTCACATCCATAGGTGTTGCATGGCCACTTTGGGCTTGATATTTATTATATGGCATGGGACCCCACAATGATCTCACACAAGTCCACATCGGTTCAGCCCTACCCTTGAAAGAGGCTAGTTCGAATTGACTACTTAGGCCAATGAACCCCCTAATCTAATTGGCATTTGAGTTTGAGCCCAACATTTACACTTAAATGATCATTAAATTCAACCACCCTATGAAAACCCAAGAATAATGGACTCATATAAGACAAAGCCCATTAGGTAATCAGCTTTATAATGGTTTCTTACACTTAACTTCTCAACCCATAATGATCAAAACACTGCCTGGCAGGGGAGGACCTCTCCCCTAACTATAAGGTGTAATGTCACACTCTTTGCTCGGATGGATCCCGGAATTAAAACATTTTACAAACCTTTTTCCATTAAATAGAAGTATATAACATATAAATACATTTTACAAAACCAGATTTCAATTATAAGTAAAATCCACTGCCAGCAATTTAGGTTTCCATCAGAGAGAGTGTAAAGCATGATATTCACTTTGTTTGACAAAGGGGCCGATCCTATCACTATGATCACCCACTTATGTGAATTCTTGGACTGCCCCAGCATACCTATATAGTTGACCATTGATGGATCTCACTGGTTAGCATATCAAAGACAGCATGATCCAACACCTAGTGTAGTACCATAATCAAGTTTGGGGTTGTGTGTAACTTTCTAGCAATGAAACAAGTTGCTCCAACTCCTTGGCAGCACACCAGTGTCATCCTTGTTAGGATAAATTTCTCAAGTCTATCCAATGGTTAAGAACATTCTAAACAACACAAGTCTCCTAAGTGTCTAGTTTAAGAGCTAATACACTAAATCATGCCAATATTAACATGAAACAATAATGTACTTTATTCATTTACAAACAAATGCTTATGTACATCAATCTAATTGGAACTAAGGGCATACACTGTCTAACACAAAATGCATATAAAATTATAAAAGTTTGTCTATAATCATACTTTTGTACTATCAATGCTAAGGAAGAGACTTGGTTGAACTGAGATAGTACATCTTGGAACCACTCACTTTGTAACCAATTTCATTGCATTGGATAGCACTTTGAAGCATATGCATGATTTGCAAAGTTTGGTGACTAATCAGAGTTTTAATGACTCTAGATATGAAATAGATGCAAAGGGGAAGGAAGTAATAAAAATAGTGCTAGACTTTGTATTTTAAAAACAATGCAAAATGATTGTAAGTTTCATATCACTTCTTGTTAGTGCATTGAGACTTACAGATTCTAAGTTTAGGCTTGCAATGGAGTATATGTATCATGCTATGTTGATTATGGTATTTTTTATTATTTATAATTATTTTTTTTATTTTTAATTTATTTATGATGTCATAGGTTGGACGTTTGACCTAGACAGTTGAACCATCAAACCAAAAAACGGTGCCTTGGCTGGTTCTGTTTCTGGCTTGGTTTTCAAAACCTTGGTTCATAATACATAGAATGATGTTGCTAACCAATTCACTAACTTTGCTGTTACTATTTTTAGACCATGGACATGGTCGGTTGCTCCTCAATTTCTATTACCTATGCTTTTGAAAGATTCAATGCAATGAATATGCCTACGAGCTTTCAAAATAAATAAATAAATAAAAGGTTTCATTTCAAAAAAAAATTCCTAATTTTTTCGTATTTGAATTGTGATTTAGCAATAGGAGAAGTCTGTAATTGCTAGGGAAACTATTTTTGTTTTCATAAACCAAAACCATAAGTTTGTGTTTGGTTGCAGTGCAATTTTATTTGTACTAGTACAAATGCATAGGAGTGCAAATGAAAAAAATGTAAATTCTTGTTTAATTTTGCTTTGGGTTTTACTTTTTCTGCTTCATGTCTTAATTAATAAGATAAAATTTTAAACAAAAATAGGTCAGAATTTACACTCAACTCATTTACACTTTGATAATTTTGCATCAATACAAATTTATTTGCATTGCAACCAAATGCAGCCTAAGGCTCAGTTTGGAAGGAGTACAAATGCAAATATGTAGAGTGCAAAACCTTGTATGGTGTATTAGTTTGTGTATATTTTCATTATACATATTTGCATTTGTACTCTTTCCAAACTAAGCCTTACATATTTGTATTTATACTCCTTCCAAATTGAGTCTTAAAAATACAAAATACATGTTTTTTCTTTTATTTTTGTAATCTTTCCAAACTGAGCATAAACATTAATTATCACTACACCCACTAAGCCCTAGGGGTGAGCTAAAAAAAAACTGAAAAACCGAATCGATCAAAAAAACTGATTAAAACTGAACCAAAAAATCAGTTAACCGAACCGACCATTCAGTGTTTTTAAAAAATCAAAGGTACCGGTTCGGTTTTAGTTAATCAATATAGAAAACTAGCGGTTAACCAAACCAACCAATATACATATATTTCTATATACTTTATATATATTTATGACATTTTTATGTATATTATATATTTTATATATTATAAATTAATAAATATGCATTATATATAAATTTATATTTATAATATATTATTTATTATTTATTATTTAAAATATAATATTTTATATATTTTTAATTTTTTATTATATATTTATATATACTTTATAATATATATTGTAAAAAATAAAAAACAAAAAAACCGACAAACCGAATTGACGGTTACCGAACTAGTCAATTGATTAACCGACTGGCTTCGGTTCGGTTCTGGTTACCGATTTTCCAAAAAATGGTAAATACCAGTTCGGTTCCAAAAAATACCCCATAGTTCGGTTAACTGAACCATGATCACCCCTACTAAGCCCTCATTTGGGAGTGCTCAATTTTAAGTATTTACTGTAATAAGTGCTTATTTTAGGCTAGGGCCACACCAATAAGCTATATGAATAAGCCTGAACAAGTGCTTTTTTTTCTGGAAATTAGCCCATTTCGAATAAGCTCAAAATTTTATTTTTTTTTTTAAATACTTTTTGAAAAACTACTTATTTCATTTCTGGAACATTTTTGAACTGCCATGTAATATTCAAAATACCTATACCACCCCATTTAAAAGACGCACTTTTATCACCATTTCAACAACTGCTCATAATAACTCATGACTCATGAGCACCTAATAAACACTTATCCTATAAGCATTTATTTATCTAATAGGCACCCCCAAACGACCACTAAGGTTGTGTTTGGCACGAAATTCTATAACTTTCCTTATCTTTTTCCTACCTTTTCCTATATTTTTCTTTCAAACTAAATACAACCTAAGCTAAGAGGTCTTTAATTTTTACTGTAAATTCCAACGCCAATATTTACGCTAGTGAACTCCAATATTTTTAATGCTTTAAAGGACATATTTGCCACTCCATGCGAAGGTTTAGAGACGAGTCTGGATGGTAATGGGTGTTGACATCTGACCCAATTGAGTCCAAATCATGTCGTCAAAGCCCAAAATCTCGCGGGGAGAGACGATTCTGGATGCGCTGCACTTTGTTATTGCCTTCCACTAAACTCGTACTTTCTCAATCACAACTTTTTTCAAAAATTCTCATTGACAATTAAGAAACTGATTTTTCTTTCCCTATCGTTTTCATAAAAAAAAAAGCCCACCACAAAACACAATCTACATAATAGTTTATATCTGCCGCAAGCAACTCCAACCTTATCTGTAATTCCCCCGCGGCCCACAAACTTAGAAGCCCATCCCATCTTATTGCCAGAAAGCAAAAATGAACAAAACCATAAATATATAATTTCTTTATTTTCTTTGTCAAGTCACCAAAAAGAAAAATAAAATAAAAACTCACTCTCTGAACACTTGAACAACAGAGAATATTCTATATACAGATAATAAGAACAATGACGACCTTTTCCTTCTTCGGGTTTCCTTTTTTTTCTTTACTTTTTCTCCATTTTTACGTCTCGAAAGGTCTCATCTTAGTGATCTTGTTTTGTTTGTGCAACCCGCCACTGCACAAAGAATACAATTTGTTGCTGGCTTATTCTTGGTTTTCTTCGCAAAAGAAAAAAAAAAAAAAAAAAAAAAAGGTAAAGGAAAGAAAAAACAAGGAAAGTAGAATATTTTAGGTATTTTATATATGGAGAAAATGAGACGTAATCACGTAAATAATCGGAGTTGGGTGTCTGAAATCAGAACTCGCTCAGAACAGGGGACACTGCAAGCGAGGAGTTGGTACGGCGACGAGTCGTTCCGCTCTGGGAGCGGTGAGTCCGAAGACATCGTTCATGTCGAGCTCACTGGGTTTCATCCCATCTGATAACTCCCACGTAAAGCAATGGAGGAGGTGAGCCATGGTTAACTCTAACGCGTAGAGTCCCAGTTGCATACCTGGGCAAGAACGCCGACCAGAGCCGAACGGTATGAACTCAAAGTTGCTTCCTTTGAAATCTGGTGCTCCCTGCTCCAGAAACCTCGATGGCTTAAATGTTTCCGGTTGGTCCCAGGATCCGGGGTCTCGGTTGACCGCCCACGCATTGATTACCACCCGAGATTTCTTCGGGATGGCGTAGCCGGCGACCTCGGCATCCTCCGCCGTCTCGTGGAGGAGGAGTGGGATGGGTGGGTGAAGCCGGAGTGTCTCTTTTATTACACACTTAAGGAACGTTAGTTTGTCGAAATCCGACTCCTGAACTATTCGGTCCAGACCCACGACGTCGGCAAGCTCTTGTTGTACCCTCTTCAGATCCTCTGTGCTTTTCATCATCTCAGCCATGGCCCACTCGATTGCAGACGCAACGGTTTCAGTACCACCGAACATCACATCCTGTTGTATTAAAATAATAATAATAATAATAATAATTAAGAAGAAGAAGAAGAACAGAAACAAGGAGATCCAGAGAAGAAACAAGAGTGTAGATTATTCCTAAAATAATAGGTTCACTATGACAACGGAAAAACTTATTCGGCAATCGATTTTCTTTTAATTAACATACCATGATGATGGCCTTAATGTTGTCTCTGGTCATTTTGATGGATCCTTGTAAGTCGTCTGATTCGCCTTTCTTGGCTTCTTCATCGTAAAAGGCGAGTAGATCATCTACCATATCGTTATCTTCTTCTGTATTGTCGGACTTCTTGTTCTTCCTCTTCGCCAAGTGAGCGTCGATGATTTTGTCGATGAAGACGTCGAGGGACCGTCTAGCCCTGGCGAGTCTCTTGTTGAATCCCTGAGGGTCGAACCAGTTGAGCCAAGGGATGAAGTCAACGAGGTTGAAGGCCCCGAAGAGCTTCGAGAACTCTTGCAATATTGCGACGAACTTCTCTTGGCCTTCACATATGTCCGACCCAAACGCGGCTCGGTAGGTTACGTTCATCGTGAGTTGGAACACCAGCCCGCCCAGGTTGACTGGCGACCCGGCTTTGGCAGCCACGGCTCGAACGATGGAGTCAACTTCGTCACGTACGGAGCTCCACGACTCCGCCCGCTTTCGGCTGAACACCTTCATGACACAGATCTTGCGCATCTGACGCCAGAAGGGTCCGTAGTGAGCGAAAGCCATATCCGCCCGGTCGTACGTCAGATACCTTATGGCCATATTGGCCGGACGGTTGGAAAAGATGTTGTCTTGTACTTGAAGAACCTGACGAGCCATCTCTGGGTTGGACACGACCACCATGTGTAGGAATCCGAGTCTCAGATGAACGAGGCCACCATATTCCTTCGCTAGCTTGGCAAGCCCCCGGTGACTCAGTTGGTCCATCATGTTCATGTTTCCGACCACCGGCAGCCCTTTGGGCCCCGGAGGATACGGCTTACGCCGTAACCGAACAAACAAACCCAGCAAGAATAATAGTGAAAGCACAAAAAATAGAATCATGGGCAGCGGCTGCTGCAGAGAGGATTCCATGAATTCTTATTCTCCTTTCCCCTCTTCCTCTCACTGTCTCTCTCTTTCTATCTCTGTATATCTTCGTGACCACTGACGAGCACTTACCCGCCCAGACGCATGCATACAAACACAGACAACACACACACACAGAGGCGCGCACTATACAAATTCGCCTCTCTGAAACTTTGTTGGTTTTCTGGGTTTTAGACTGAAAGCAGGGGGGAGGGGGGCATTTTATACACGCTGATGCACATACCAGTCTAGTTGGATCATAAACAGTAGAAAAGATGTTTTCTATAATATTTTATAGCTTTATTATTAGCTTTCCTCTGTAATTTGATTTTGAAAATCATGTCTGTACAATTAATTTCTCCAAGTCTATTTGGTTGGTTTTCAATGTCTTATAGTATATTCGGATTTTGTGGGATTGTTGTGGATAGTAAATTTATCGCCTTCACAGTGTTATATTTGTATTTGTAGGTGGATTTGCAGTTTACCATCTCACCTACCACGGTAAAAAGGAAACGCTTACCTAAATGAGGTGGAATTGAGAACTCCGAAAATCTCTCTCTCTCTCTCGACAACAAAGAGCTAGCTGATGCAAAAGGACACTTGAAAGATATGTCCAAACTTTTTCTTGCTTTTCATGGATCCCACCTTGTCCGCGGGAATAAGTTAATTAAAGGAAATGCAATAAAAAACGAGCCTGCGCTGTTTTCTAAAATGTAAAATTCGAAATCCTGGGAGGGGAGGGGGTGGCCGGGTGGGGTGGGGTATTCCACGATATGATTGATTTTGCTTTTGTTAATATGGCAGTTTTTTTATTTCGAAAGCAAAAAATGGAAGTTAAGAATTCACATCTGTGCCCCACAGTTAACTGTGTATTAGGAACATCTATCATCGGGAGATATTCCAAATGTTCGCTGAGATGTGTATATTATGCCGCCCGTGGCCTAATACAGTCTGACACGATTTCAAGTCGGTCCAGCCCGTTATGATGATTCATGAGTCGTGCTGTCATAAATAATTATATATATCAAAATTTATATAAAATAAAGATTTTAAGATTTTTTTAATATTTTTAGATAAATAATTTTGGCCTGATCCACGGCCTAACCTGATCTAAGGCTTGGGCCACGGATCAGTCTGGCCTGTGGCACGGCATGGGTTCATATGGGCTTGGGCCATGGACTGTACCAAGCCGACCCCCCAAAATATCTCAAGGGAGAAAAGCATAGGCCAGAACAACCCACAGGCCACATGTGAGCCATACCATGCCGGCCCAGCTTGGCCCGTTTTACAGCTTACACATACCCACAAGCATGAAAGATATTCTCAATGCAAGCAGATGTGCATGTGGGCCCCCTACGGGGCACATTATGTGGAGTTGGGATCTCTACTAATAAAAGACATTCCAAACACTCTTACCAACATATGGTCTCTTCTCTGTGGGGCATCAATTTGAATTTGTGAAAACTGTTCAAATCCATACCCCCTTCCACCTTTTTGTTTTTAACTGAAACTCTGGGTTACTTTCAACCGCGTCCATGTATTGGCAATTACAGGTTAAGATTTTGATGGCTAAATACATTGTACTGTTTAATAATTTTTAAATTTTAAATTTTTAATATTTTATCAATAAAACAAAATTTCTTAATGTTAATTCTAGCACAAGTCCAACGGTTCTCCTTCTCAATTATTTTTTTATTATTTAAATATTCTTTTTTAATATTTTTATTAATAAAATAATATTTAAAATATTAGTTTTTATTTTTTAATATTTAAAATAATATTTTTTAATTATTTAAAAAATGCAATTGTTGTCTATATATTGATGCTTTTTTTAATTCATTTACCATATGAAATGTAAAAGTTAGATATTTATGACCGACTATGTAAATCCCCCATAAAATGTATATGAAATACATGAACTCAAAAAGTGTGATGTCTACAGAACACCACTATGGGTGTGAACTGATCCGGTCCACACAATCTATTCACGCTATGGACTGTGTGATATTGTGTGAATTGATATGGTGTAACGTGGATCAATTCACACTACCAATTTCTCATCAACATAACAGAACACCCCTAAATAACATATATGTAAAAATTTTGATTGCAAAAAAATAAGAATCTCATAATGAAATGTCATTGTTTTATTCGGGGCATGCATATTAATATATTTATTTATTTGTTCTAAAGAGCTGTAGGATGAAATTAACCCATCCCCAAATTAAATACTACTAATAATAATATCATTAATACACGTTTGGGATACCTTGCGTGATACATCGTCATTATGAGGTAATATGATATTTCCATCACTTAAGACGTTTTGCCTGAAATGTGAAAGGATTGCTTACATCAAAAATATTCACGATTGGATATTTTTGACTCTCTCATTTCTAAATTATTTTTGAACCATTAGTAAAAGTTTGCTTCATTGTCCAAGTGAATTAATTAATTATTCCTTTGTAATCGTCTGATCATCAAACTATGTTTCGGCATAAGTAATTTCTTTTTTTCTTTAGTTTATTAGGTCGTGGTCTCTATCTTCAAATACTTTCTCTGTGAGATATGCAATAATCTACCATTGGAAGTTATATAGATACAGCTCGTTTGTCTTGCTTAAACCTTTTGCAACACTTATCGAATATAAAATCTATGTGCATGCTGCTTTACTCAATCTCAACAACTCTATACACAGCCTTATCCAATGCATAAATTATATCTCTCTTTCTATTTTTTTATTAACAATTAGGGGAAGCGGTTCTGTGGCTTCTGTTTACACTTTAATACAAAAGTGTAAATAAGGCTTTAACTAGTAATTACAACCCCACTTAAGGCCTTCAGCTGGGATCAGAATTTGGATTTCACACAAAATACAGAGTTCACATTGGGGTCCCATCCAGCGTACCCCACACATGTATATCTCAGCATAGATTGGAAATATTTATTGTATTTGTCATTAGGAGATGTTTTCAATACAGGGTTGGAATGTGTTGTGAATTACTTATAGTATGCATTTTTTGGGTTATTGATGTGAATTCAATACAAAAGTGGGCCCGGCATGGGTATTATACTAGTTCACATCTATGCCACACAGCATATCCATTCATGTATACAACTCCCAATGACAACACTATGGGAGATGTTCCCAGTGCATGCTGAAATGTGCATTCAGGAAACTGATGCAAACTTGTCTTGTACATGAATTCCCATGGGTGCCTCATTACACATCTCAATCATGTATTGGGAACATCTCCCCATGACAAACGCATGGAAGATGTTTAATTTGGATGCATGCTGAGATTGTGCATGTGGGCTTCAATTCAATATAATGCCAAGATTGGCATTGTGTGAGAAGGTGAACCTATAAGAAAGAATTTTGGGAGAATGACTATTCAGCACACCCTAAGAATTCTTAGCTCCATCATACAATTGGGGTAGATGCCAACTCAGAATTGATGTCAGTACACAGGTGGGTATTGATATTTTAGGGTGGGGGTATTTGTCATTTTAAATTGTATAGGATTACAGTAGAATTCAAAATTTTGCATTGTAGTACAATGTATTTTTTCAAAGAACTTTTGTATCTCTTGTATTTGTCATTGGGAGGAGCCCAAATTTCTTACTCACTTTTACTACCCACTCTCTATCCGAAGTGAATTAAAGTCACACATCTCTTAATTCATAATAGAGATGTGTGGTTCCAATTCACGGCGGATAGAGAATGGGCAGGAAAAGTGAGTAAGAAATCCCGAATACATTAGGAGATGTTTCCAATATACAACTGGGATATAATGTGGGGCACCCATATGGCATGAAGCAAATTCTAATTTAGCAGGGTTGTTATGTAGGAATCTCCTTTACTTTTCTAACATTTTCTTAATTAAATTTATTCTAATTGTTTGATAACTGTAAAAGTGTAGGATCAAGTGGCCATGGGCTCTCGAGATCCATGGTGGATAGGTCTCTCTATGTGAACATATGATTACTCATATTATGTTTAACTAATTGGTGTTTTAATTACTTATGGATACATGTGTTGATCTAACCACATAACAATAGACTACCTTGAGCTATTTTATTTTTGCGAAATCAGCTTTGAATAAACTTGGTTTGGATAGAATCAAAATTAACTAATGACAAAATATTAATTAAAATATAAGTGAACCCATAAAGTCACTTGTCTCAATCAGAAGGGATTGAAAATAGCCAAGAGAGATAGGGTTAGTTATATGGCGGCCCAAAATTCTATTGTTTTATATGTATAAATAGAGTCACTCTTTATTTATCTCCCCTATTTCATTTTCACTTATCTTACAATTAATTTATCTCCCTTGAGTAAAGGGGTACCATTGTAATTTCAAAGAGGTGGTGCTGAACTAAAGAGGAGGTGAAATGTCAAACGGTAAGCACTTCAAATCTATATGGCGTTGCAATCTAAGCATGAGATATATAGGTTGATATCAACAACGTAACTCAAATCTCATACTTAGTGTTTGGTATAGCTTTTGTTTATTAAATAAATGTTTCTATTTGAGTTTTCTTCAAAATTAAGAAAAAGTATGTGATAAATTGTTTATAGATAACTAGGTGTTACAATAGTGGAATAGTGAATAAACCATTGGAGAAGCGTTAAAATGAACCTTCTCCTTGAAGTTTTTCCCAACAATTGATGTATATATAAATCAAAACCCACTTTTGTGAATATTAATACTTACAGATGAATATGATGGAAAAAATATTGATATAACAATGATAAAGAAATGTTTTGATAAACACCTATCACGAAAACACCCACAAAACAAAACATATGCTTAATTCAAAAAGAATACAAATACAATTTTATAGATTGCAAAAATTTGTATTTTGTCCAATTTTTTATGTATTTGTACTATACATATTTATATTCACACTCCATCCTATTTTTCTTTATTATTAACATACTAATGTTTTAAATTGGTCATCTTAATAAATAAATATTATTATAATGTAACTGATAATTTAACAACCAAAACGATGAGCTTATATATAAATATCTGCAACAAGATTGGAGCAATGTCCCGTTATTTATCATGCAGCTTCATTCCATCACAATCTCGATTTGGTAGAACTGGTAATCCATCAACACCAATCTCTCTCTCTCTGCTTGTTCACTCTAGTATTTATGGATTATAATGTAACTGTGGGCAGTCTCTCTCTCTCTCCGCTTGTTCATCGT